AAGCCAATAAAAGATGCCTGAGGCATCAGATGGATCGTTTTATGGTCATGACAATCATTTTTATGTCTTTATTCTTACCTCGATTATTGTTCCTGAAATTGTTTTGACTGCATCGCTACCTATCCTCAGGTCAGACTTGCCTTGAGACTGAGTGTGTGGGTTTTAAACCTGCTACTTGTGTAAATTGATCATTCTGTTTGTTTCCCCTCAAAGGGCGGCTTTGCTCGATGCTATGAGATGACAGACCTGTCCAACAACAAAATGTATGCAGTGAAGGTGATCCCACAGAGCAGGGTGTCCAAACCACACCAGAGAGACAAGGTACACGATCACCAATCTTTGTCTCTCCCGTGTCTTGCATAACTGGAAATCAATGTCTGGGTTGTTGTGTTTTCTTTTGGGACATTGAAACGTCTTCACCGATTGATGAGTTGTCATATGTTGACAGATTACGAACGAGATCGAGCTGCACAGAACGCTGTCACACAAGCATGTGGTGAAATTCTCCCACTATTTCGAGGACCAAGAAAACATCTACATCTTCCTCGAGCTGTGCAGTCGGAAGGTGAGACTTCAGAACTCTAGAACAGTCTGCGCTGCTTTGTGTTCTGCTTGCACTAACAGTATTTCTTGTATTACCCTACAGTGCTGCTTTGCACGCTATATTTAAAATGTAAAAAAAAAATAGATTTCTTTTATGCAGCTGCAGGGATGCATATGTGCTAGCAGTGTTTATACAGTCCCACTCACTGATGCAGGGTTGACAGTTCACTCATTGCTCTCTCTGCAGTCCCTGGCACACATTTGGAAGGCGAGACACACACTCACAGAGCCTGAAGTGCGCTATTACCTCAGACAGATCATATCCGGCCTCAAGTACCTCCACAGCAGAGGAATCCTGCACAGGGATCTCAAACTAGGTACGTGGCTGAAAATGCGGATTAACGCATACACAAAGCATCCCAGGAATCTGTGACTTTGGACGAGCATGCGTGTCATCTGTGGAATGCTGACCGGACAAATGCTTTTGTCTCTTTCAGGGAACTTTTTCATCAATGAGAACATGGAGTTGCGGCTGGGAGACTTTGGCCTCGCTGCCAAGCTGGAGACAGTTGAACAAAGAAAAAAGTAAGTTAATTGCTTAAAATGTTTATCTGCTGGAGGATACCAATGAGCTTATTGGGGACCATAGATCATACTACTGTAATGATGATTGTTATAATGAAACAAAGCTCTCTAAGGTCTCTCCATATTACACTTTTTTTTTTTTTTAATATGAGTATTTTTAGCCCCATCTCAGATGTATCTTTTAAAAATCTAACTTTTAATGCCCTATCTTAGCACAAGCACCCTCAACCTAAACCATTACATCAGTTACTAAGCATAATCTTCCTCCCACAACTTTCCTCCTGCAAGTACCTAACTAAACCGGTTTCCAACTGACAGTTGAAAGTACCGCTTAGAGCACAGTTTCGATTCCTGTTAGACAGCTTCCTGTGGAATACCAGAAGACTGAGAGTGACAGAAAAAAATATTTCAAACATTACCTGTATGCCTGATGTTGAAACCAAACCAGTTTTAAATGTTCGAAGCATTACATCTTACCCATATATGGTTCTTGTTTTGTTTTTCTTAGAACAATCTGTGGGACTCCCAATTACTTGGCTCCTGAGGTGCTCAACAGACAGGGCCACGGCACAGAGTCTGACGTGTGGTCCCTCGGATGTGTCATGTGAGTCTTTTTACTTTAAGATGATTATAAGAACTATCCCGGTTTCATAGAGAGTGTGTGTTGGGGGGATTTTGACCTTGGCGTCACTTCGTCTCAGTCGGTCGGGAAAGTGGGGACTTTTTTTTTTTTTCTCTAAATCACTCATTTTTGTTTTTGAGCTGACTCACTGTTGCCTTGATTACTCTCTCACAGGTACACACTGATGTGTGGAAACCCTCCTTTTGAGACGCTCGACTTGAAAGAGACGTACAAGTGTATTAAAGAAGTTCGCTACAAC